GTAACAATAGTCTGGAATGTGTATAGGGATTGGACATGTTGGGGGGTACCCGTCGGTCTCATTTCTTGCTGGGTATAAACAAGAAGACATTGAGATGTAACCAGCGTTGTAAAGGTTTTTTTCGTGCAGACATGCATTCTGCAATACTATCCATGGGGTAACAAGTTTTATTGTTTCAAATCACCGACGAAGAAAGTGTAAAAGACTATGTACTGTAGCAAACATACAGCATACGGGAACGTTGAACACAAATGTCCGTAAAAATGTAAATATTAAAAAAAGGGAAATGGAAGGATTACGGTCAGAATGTCTGTGCTGCCACCCTTGGAATGTAAATAAATTCTCATTGCAGATGTTTGAATTTAATGGGCCTGTCTGAAAGGCCGGTTTTATTCATTCAGTTAGCCTACGCGAGGTCAGCTCTATAGATCTTTGTAATGCCTTTGAATGCATGATCCTTTCGGTTTATTTCTCTGTCGTAGTAACTGTAGCTAATTAAAAACAAAATACCTTTTCGTATCCACAATTTTACCAAGAACACTGAAGCCGATACTTACAATCTGATGACTTTGGTGAGATTAGCGAAGGTACCTCTTTTAATTCTTGCCAGATGATTATCTCTGAGATTCCTTCAAAAAATTACAGCGATGATTGAAAACAACAATTGTGTTTTTAGCATCCGATGTGGTTCTTTTCGCCCCAAATCACTTTTTTTGGCATGCTATTTTGTCTAATAAGTGGGCGTCAACAAATCAACCATACAATGGGACTCTTTGTATGGTGGGTTGTAAAAAGAGATCCCCCTATTCACGTCTGGTCTTGTTTTCAAACTCAAGCGCCCCGGTAAAACTATCTTATGTTTAGGAATAAAATGAAGTAACAGAGAGGTGCGATGTTCCATGCCAACAGGCTTTAAAGATCAATCATATTGGTAATTCACAATTAAAATTTTATGGTATTTAATTAAATATTGAAAACAATCTAGTAAGTAAAGATTCAAAATTGCTACTGACGTCAAAACCACGAGTTTAAGTCCTTTATATCACGCAAACTGAAGCCAAATGTCCTCTGGAACATCCAATTGAAGCCTGTTTTGATGACGTCACACTACAGCTCTACAATTATTCGACTGTTCCTGGTTCGGGGTAAACGCGCCCGCGGCGTGAGCGGTGGGTTTGCTCGCACGAACTGAAAATTAAAAGAGGTTGGACAGTGAGAGCGACATGGAATTGCTTTTCCATCAACAATGCTGATGAACACTGGATCTCATGATAAAGTTGAACCGTCCTAGTTTGAACTGGAGTAAGGTCCTGATGAATTTCAGGTAGATGGCCGTGGCCATTTGCCGAGATTTACACCGAACTTACTTTACCCGGTTTTTCTCCGTTCTTGTGCTATTAACCCCTACTACAGCTGCAAGGTAGAAAAAAAAAAACTCTGGGGAACGAGATCCTTATTATGACGTCATCAAATCGCCAGATTTGTTTGCCACCCTCATCGACGGCTTTGTTTTTACTGTGAGCATTCTCGCATGTGGAACTGAACTCCCAAATTGACGATTTTTTTTATAAATACGAAGAGAAGCTGCCACGTTAGGTATGTTATGGGTAACAATAACCAATTCCCTGTTAACTAATCGTTTTATGTCAAAAGCAATGTGATTGATCTTCAACGTCTGCGACTGAAACCGTTTTTGCAACGTGGAAAGCATGATTCGCTACTTGCACCACCGACCGATCGATGGAATACACACAGGAGGCTTGATTAGATTAAAGCAATTTAATCTGATTAAAACTTATTCAGGACTACACATAAAGTGTAGCTGGGCAGACTAACCAATTACTTAATAAAAGAATTACAAGTGTAATTGGTTGGTTTGAAGCTAGTTTGCTCACTACAAAACTGACATTTGACTTTTCCTTTGTTTAGAAAATAATTTTTGTGCCAAGATCTTCCACAGATTTTCCCAAGCGTGGGACAATTACAATGTAACTCCTAACGGTTTAAACTTGTAATCATCAGACCACTGTAGTCGGTAGTCAGTTTTCAGTTCAGTAATCCTTTCCTTTCTGTCCTCATCGTGTATCAGGCTAAAATATACCTGTATGTGTTTACTTGACCTTGTTTGTAGGTAGAGGCCAACCTCCCTTCGAGACGACTATTGTGGAAAAGTATTCATCCTTACGTTTTCATGATACAATAGTCTATAATGGCTGGAATGTTTGTTTTAAACAAATCAGTGTGTTTTCTCCCTGTGCTCTTCCGACTGAATGGTTTTATCGGAGAGTTACAAAACCGTTCTAGGCATGATGAAATGGAATGCCCTTTTTAAACTATCCACGACTTCCTTTGGAGTAGAGTAATGGTTGCGTGAATACTCGTTATAACACGAACAGATGTGTGTTAACTTGGTAGAAAACACGGTCTGCCTTTTCAGTTCATTGTCCTTGAATCTTTGCCTATGTTCGCTGCAGTTAGTAAGGCGTGGACGGAGGCTGGTTTCAAGAGGTTGAAATAGGCGGGCCTGGGTTAGACAGAGACAGACCGGCCAGCTGGATTAGAAACTGCAGGAATGAATTTTCTGTTCATAATAACATTGCTATCATAAGGGGGAACAGATATGGAAGTGGCCCTAAACGGCGCATGTGTCTGCCTGCTCAAAAATTAAAGAAGAAAACCTGGTGAGAGTAAACCTTACGTAGTTGTGACCGCATGCATTCACTAAGTTCCCCTAACACAAATTGAGGACCCCAAGTGCTCCGCGGGAAATGTACCCCGTGCAGCAACGCCACTAATCACAGATTCTGAAGATGTGCGCAAAGTTTGCCAGAAAACGTTATTCAGTACGAAATACCGACACATAGGAGTAAAACACGACAAAATAAACTATGACATTTCCTTTGTATGGACAGCCGATGTAACGTGAATTTGAATGTTAATATTCCAGTATTTGTGAAAATGCAAGTAGACACGTCAACTTACAGCAATGTTGTATTCCTAGGTATTCCAGGCGGCACTGACGTCAAACCTTTGCCTTGGCAATTTACTTCCTTTGTTAGGCTACATGTACACACCTTGCAAGCGTCATACTGACCATGTACCAGGCTCAAGAGAAACCCAGTCATGAGAAAACCAGCCAAAACCGCGCTTGGAGACATGGTTCTTTCAAATGCTGTTCTGGAATGCTGTCACTTCAGTCTCCCAAAAATGCATTCAGGGAGCCCTGGTAGCTCAGGGATTGATTCTTTTAGAAAATTGTAAAACGCAAACTTTTTCGAAATTACTATCTAGTCCGACATATGATCCACAGCGCAGGCTCGATCACTGACTCACTGTCTAACATGCAGCGAGGGGTTGTAACCAACTTCCGCTTTCGCTTCTGTATCAATCCCTCAAACAGGATAAATTGGTCAGCGGGCGTGTCCGAATATTCGCAGTTGCACGCTTGCCGCTTCCCGAGTTAATAATAATAAAAATAATGCATTTAGGAAAGTACGTTGCTCTGTATATGCCACCTCGTAACTCTCCCTAACGGATCTCGCAAATCCCGAAGTGCTACCCTAGCCGATGTGTACTAAAAAAAACTTTTGTAAATGAAGCATTTAAAGGGTATAATGGGGGATACAGTTATAGAATTTTGTTACTAGTGACATAAAAAGTGAAAAGCAATGAACATGAACACCTGTAGACGGATCAAAACTGTCAAGAATATATGACCTGCAACAAGGAGAAAATAGTGCCGTTTTAAAGATGGACTCCTTCTAAGTTTGGTGAAATATGACAAAAAGAGGGCTAATCACTGTTACGAAATATTCGTGAATGTTAGATAATATAAATTTTCTATAAGTAAGATTAAGTGAAGGCCAGTCCCTGCATTCGTCCTATTTCGTCCAGCTTTTGTCAAGCAAACGTTTAGTAAATTTATTCCATCTTTGAGGATCTGTTCCCAATTTCTGACCAGGGGAATGGCCAATTGGATTTTCTACTGGACTTGGATCTGCTGAGGCATAGACAAGGCACGCTGCTCTTTTTAAATTTCCAGAGCCAACGATTCAGGGTATAGTGACTGGTGCAAAACAAACATGATCAACATATATTTCCATTCTTAAAGGAATGGATATTTAATGAAATCCTGTATTCCAAATATGTGGTCCTAAACATTAGAAATATTAATAGATATTTGTGTTTAGTGGAAGGCAATGGTTAAAATACTTACATAAACATTTAAGACAATTTTTGTACTTGTTCAGTGTTTCGAAATCACTATTTTTACAAAATAATCTGCAATCCTCTTAAAATGTAATTCTGTAATGTAATTTAGAGAAATGTCAATTTTGTTGAATAAGCCAGGGATAAGGTCAGCCACATGTAAGGCCTGCGGGGCAGTGGCATAATTAACGGCTGCATGGGGGACAACGGCCTTTGCGCGAGCTTCGCCTATGCGTCCCCCCCCCCGAAAACTAATGGAAGAAAATAATCTGGTGATAGCCCATCTTGGTCATTGTTTTTAACTATGACAAACCTGTTTATTGCCCCCTCCAAAAAAGAGAACCCACACACACATGTAAGTGTTCATTTGCCTGCAACCGGGGACCCCCTATTGTTCCTCTTTTGTTTGTACTGAAACTTTTTTTCAGAAGACCGCCCATATGTTTCGTACACAGTTGTCAATCGGGGACCCTCTGTCAATCGGGGACCTTATTGTCCTCTACTGTTCAGAGTCCCCAATTGAATGCAGAGACAAACTCACAAAAAACATACCTGTTTTACATACAAAGTGTGGACTTTCCTTTGTTTTCCTGTGGTTAAGGAAACGTGAGGAAAGGGTCCTTTTTCTCTAACTAGGATAACTCCTTCGAGCTGGATTTTTGATGGTGATTCTCTGAACTATTCCTCTTCATTTTGCCACGGATGATCTAGACCCAAAAATGCCTCTGAAACTCTTTTTCACAGAGGGGAAACATTGTGTGGACGTGTGCGAGTCCACACTACCCCATCGCACCCTACATTTATGTGGACTTCCTTTGTGCAGAGGTCCACACCATGTATGGCACGCCCGCACATACACACACACACAAGTACACAGTTTCGCCACTGCTATAGTGAAGCTATTCTTTCTTGTCTCCTTCATTCAGCTGAAATCTTTGGTTAGTCAGAAGCATGCATCATAGATAGGTTTCCACGTGAAAAGAGTGGCGGAAGACAGATGGCCAACCACTATATTATGAATTATCCATTGTTTCCAGGTATACCGGAGGACAAAATGTCTTCAATATTAATATCTCATGACCAGCGGTCTAGACCTGAGTTTATGGATGGCTACTGCTTCTGATATTCTGATTTCTGCTTTTGGTATTGACTTGTGCGTGTCTTTGTCGCTTTAGACAAGTCGTTGCTAAGCTACAAATATACACAGTTCAGTGTTTTTAAGCCTTCACTAGAGCTAAAAATCGTCTCAAAGGGTAACCACTGCAGGACTGGCTTTATGCTGATGGAAAAGGCAAAAGATCTAATGGAATCTTCTCTGTCGCAGATCGCGTGTCGCGAAGATGCACGGAAAAGTGAAATATCCGTCATATATCATTTGACCTTGAACAAGGCAACAAACCAGATTTACAAAAGCTACAAATTGACAATCTTACTTATGTACACACAAAAAGATTGTCTGAAAATTCTTGTCATAAATATGCAATTTCAAAGTGTTTTCTTATGTACATAGGGTGAAATCATGTACTTGAAAAGACGTAATGGGCCTCCATGTTTTTGAGTGGATACATCTTCGGCGCCAAGGCACATACGAAAACAGTTTTCGAAGGGCAAAAGTTATATTGCTTTCTATCTTCACCTATGAAGACCACCTCTTATGTCCAAGCAACGGTTTACAGTAACATCAGCATGTAGCTGCACTAATTAATACTTAAGTAAAACTGAAACATCAAGGCTCTAAAATAGGCTAACCAAATTAAAGGGTAGATGCAATCAATGTTTTTGATTACAAACCTGTAAATGCACCTTTGTGCCTTAGTAAACCATATTTAAACTTTGGTTTCACTATATGAAAGGGTATTTTAATGCTTTCTGCTAATGAGTATTTCCATATTCATGAGCAAAACTGTGATGTCATCTCAGGAATAAGCCTCAATGTTACATTGGTTTGTACACAAAAAGTCCTGCGTTTTTGTAGATCTTCCTGGACAAAGTTTTCTCTCCCTTACTGATTCATTGTTGTTTATGTGCATAGCAATAAGAAACCATCAGTCCCTCTCTCAGAACTGTTATTAGTTGGTAAATTCTGGGTTCACAATTTGAACAGAAATACCTTTGAGCCACGTCTTCCTAAATGACTTAACAGCAAAAAAACATGGATAATTTTATTTGTTTAAAAGTGTGCACTTTTCAGTGCATTTAACCAAATAGGAGTGTGGTGTGGAAGAGTTTTCTTGCATTGAAGAAACGTAAAAAGATGCAAAAGAATCGTGCCAAAGAAAAATTCATTGCAGCTACACTTTAAAATGCATCTTGTCAAACATCCAACCAGACGTAGACTGTACATGTACAACCCTTGCCTGACAACATCAGCACTGCATTGTGATCTATGCTGAACTAGCCGACATAGCAATATTAATAACATACATCCATACATATAATCTTGAAAGTGCAAGATTTTATCTAGTCTACACAATCATATCTGTGATGACGGTAGCCTGCACTTTTGACGAGATAGCCTCCAAAGAGCCTCTAATAGGTCGTTCGTGATGGGAGGCGCTGAGGGCGTACCCCAACATACAGCTAAATTTATGGAGAGACTAACCCTTTTGTTACAAAAAATTACTAAAAACTGAACAAAAGAAAATAAGTAATTTTAAAAAATATAACTACACAGTGATGCACCTGAGAGCAAAACATGCCAGGGAACACTGCACCGAATAGCCAAGCCCATCACACAATTCGATTGCGCACACTTTCGTGGTTACTCCCAGGCCTTCCGCTTAACAAAGCATGCCTTTCTCCTATGTTATGGTGACTAGGGTGTCGCCTCAGTACCCAGTACCGTCTTGGCAGCCGAAGCTGACGGCAGACATGACCAATGAACCTGACAGCACGTTGGCAGCATGCAGTCTTAAAAACCAGCGTGGCAAATGACCATATCGCGCTGCCTGTGAAGACAAAACAAATCATGTATGTTTTCATCAATTTCTAATTGTAATAAACGATTAATACCCATGACATGTATCCAGATGGTTGATCTAAAGCCTTTGCTTCGTAGGTACATAGCGCAGTGAAGCACCGTTTAGGGTACAAAAGCGATGTAGTATCTCGAGTTCTTGTGCTAAGGAAACGCTCATACAGCTAAATACACGCATAGTTTGTGGCTTGTGTTTACAGCCGGAAAAAAAGTAAAATCGAAAAAAGAGTGTCATATACGATTGAACACGCCCCCTTTTTAAAAAAATATGGTAAGGTGAAGTATCTAGAGCATAAACCCCCGACCCGACTTCCCACCGCTACTTATAAGTGAGGCCTGCGCAGCAAAATAGCCTTTAAGAACTGTGATGCTGATATATTATCGTATGATGCAATACAGTAGGCAAACCTATAATTGAGGCTTGTTGAAGCCTTCTGCTTGCAAATTTTTGTGACGCTGACTAGCCTCATTTATTTGCCTACTGTAATAGCATTGCAATTAGAGCGCGGCTACTTTGCTGCACAGACCTCGCTTATAAGTAGCGGTGGGTAGTCGGATCAGGTGGCATTAAAATATTGGCAAATTCAGGGCGGTGTGCCCATTTTAAGGTCAAACAACGCCGCTATACCAGGAAGTAATGGACTGTTGGCAAAGACTTATGACAATTAAGGAACCCACCATCAACACGTTGTCATGTGTTTCGTCACATAGTACATTTTCATAATCTGTTATCTTCATCCCTATGCCCTACACTTCTGCAGTTCAATTTACGTTGTTGGTTGATGTAAACTGTGGTACCATTCGACGGCTTTGATTGAGGTCAGTCTAGTGTAACCTTTGAGGATTCTAAGATCCTCTGTTTCTTCTTCTGTTCTGCAAAATTGTTTAGAGGAGCAAGGAATTAATTTTGAAAATCAGTAACAGTTTAGACCATATATCGGGTGTAGAAAAATCTCTTCAACCTACCCGCCACAAAGGCAACTATGGTGAGATTGAGTAGAACCAGAAATACTGCCAAAACCTCCTTCCTTCCTTCGCTGGGACTGCCGCCCTCACTTGGTAACAGGAGCAAAGAGGCCGCCAACAAATTCAGAAAAATGCTAGCCAGGGAGCACATCTGAAGACGATGTTCTGCAACATCCTTCATTGGCTTAACGTAGGCATGGACGACGAGAAAACTAACGGATAGGACGATGGTCGCGAAGAGGGTGAAGTGATCCTCAGCACCGAACAACAGAACGAAGAGGACTTGGAGGATTTTTCTTGTGAGCTCTACGATCTCCCAATACCAGAACTGCTCCTTGTAATTTTCACACAGGAAGGTTTCCCATGTAATGCTTCTTACTGACGAGCTAATCGATGGAAGAGACAAAGGCTGATTGCTATGAGCAGCATCTGTCGTTTCATGTGAGTCATTCTGAGAAGCCACAACGGCACAATCATTATTACGGCATGTACCATGGCGGACATCATCCACATGATGACGCTGATTGTCGTGGTCAGTCTGCTGGTCTGCAGCGCCCACTGGTGTTTGGTCTGAGCTATTCGAAATAACTAACGAGCTCGAGGAATCGTTGGCTTTCTTCCGTCTCCGCCGATTGTTCATCCACAGCATGACGAGCAGCACTGATGGAAAGCCAATAACATAGCACAGGGAAACCTCGGCGGCGTGATTATACGTGACATGTTGAATTGTGTCACAGTCGATGGAATAGTCTGATCGAAGACGATGGACTCTGATCTTATTGTTCTCATCTAGGTAGAAGTCATCACAGCCAGTCGGTAGCAAAGTCAGGATGGCACTTGATAGGCCAGGGTATGTGATAAATAGCAAAACAGTAACAACTAAGTAGCATTTTGATTTTGTTTCCGCCAGCCGGTCACTGTAAACGTCACTTGGTGTCTCCTTAAGACGTAGATAGCACTGTTTGAGTCTGTAAACGATCAACGCCAACATAATTACAAGAATGCAAAAGGTCAGACCACCAATAAATTCAATGTATATTGTTGGATAGGTGAAGTTTGGGAAGTAACAACGAGGACTCACAATCAACTGCATGACGTTCATCTCCAAAACTCTGATAAAAGAACCGATTTTAGTTAAAGGCCTCGGCCAGGGAAGATCATGAAGTGCGTCGAATATCTCACCCATGATCTGATAGAAACCGAGCAAAATCTTAAATTTTGAGAAAAGCACACTGACCACGGACCGACCTCTTCGACGATGTCTCTGAAGGTCCCAGGCAACGATGAGGACCACTACAATAATGACAATAACTGTAGCAAGGATTTCAAGAAAGAACACCCACCACCTCGGGCATTCAAAACACCGATCGAACCAAGAGTAGAAGCCAGCCATGCACTGGGAACAGAGGAAATTCCCGTAGCCAGACTGACATATTGCATTTATTCCGTCTCCAATATTTTGACAGGATTCTTTCCTCGGACATGAATGGACTTTCGGGAGTGTTCCTTGGAACTTGAGGGTGCTTCTATCATAGCTGTTGTTCTCCGTGAGAATATTTTTGACATACCTTTTATAAGATTGGTAATTGTCAATTGAACCCCAATCCCAAGTCCACCAGAATCCAGGCAGGAGATGTTGGTATTCCCCCGAGCAGTTGATACCTTCCAAGGGACAAGGAAAGCATTCACGAAACCGGTCTCGGCGATAGTAATTAGACAAACAAGGACACGCGCGGAATCCAGCGTGGCGACATTTTTCCGTACCCGATGGACAAACCACACAGTCGCCGATATTTCTTCCCGGGTGATTCTCCGGTGTGACGTAAGTGCCATTGTTGCAAGAAAGACAATTCATGGCAGCCCCTTTCCTTGCAACTTGACCGGTTCGGTTTTGAAAAAATCCTCCTGTATGAATTGTTTTCAAAGAGAATGCACACATACGTTTTAATACCTATTGTACCCTATAAATCTCATTTTCTTGAAGTTTTCCAAATTTTAGTTGTTTAAACAGCACATATTTGCCGAAACTTGTGATCCTTTTAGAAAACAAAATTAATTTTTACATTTTGCAACTCCGTTGGTTAGATTTTATTTAAAATGAAAGTCTTACCAGGTGGACAGGCCCTGCAAGACATCCAGGGGCCACCGTAGTTACCTTGGCGACAAGGTGTGCATTCCCACTGGGAGTTGGGTAATCCCACACAGCTGAATCCAGAAGTACTCAGGGCTTCGCCTGTTTGACTTGAAACGTTGATGGATTGGACAAATCCACTTCCCGCTAAAACACTAGCATGACGCAGTAGAATTAAGAACTCAGTGGTAACTTTGAGAAAGTCTATGAATGCCTCGGGATCTTGATAGCGATTTTTGCATTCAAAACTCTATGCGCTTCCAAAGGCATGAAAGCCTCAATAGAGAACATATTTTTGACAAGTCTCAATGAGACGACGACGTTGCAAAGAAAAAAAAGACAGACCGTCTAAAGTCATAACTGTGACAGATGGTTCTGTAAAGAGGAATAAACAACTAAAAAAAACATAGGTTGAGACTGTGGCGTATCCAGAGGTGGACGGTGGCAAGTTGGGCCTCCCTGAGCCATGTTGTTTTTTTAACCCCCAAAGAACTGGGCTACTGTGTTGCTTTTTTGACCCCCAAAGAGCTGTGCTACTTTGGCCCATCTCACAGCCGGGGGCGGATTCACGCTCATTTTTTTTACATTTGGCGTACATATATATCCTTATGAATACAGTATGAAGTTTGAACCCAGTCAATTTTGGTTTTGTTGTTTACGGTCGTTAGAAGTTCAAGCTAGACGTGTTCGCATTGAGCAACACAGTGGAAAAATACATTTTAAGCGATCTTGTCTTGGCAAAATGGCGCTGCACAGAAACAGTACCTTCAATTATCACAAAATTGGTGTCAAAATGATGAAAAGAGTTATTCTAAAAACTCATAATGGTTCAGCTCCTTAAAAAAATGCACTGCAGCAATATGTAAAAAATGTCTTTCAGAGTCAAAGCAACAGCATTTTGAAAGAGTATAACTACCTTGTCTCGGGCGTAAGAATTTTACATGAGTTAAAAAGAAATAGGAAATAAAAAAGCCTTTTGTACGCTACTGGTTGTAGAGCTCGGTAAGACCATCAAAAGTTGAGTCAGAGAAATTTTGTTCCTCGTTTGCATGCTTTTGATATTTTCTGAACCATGACATTTCGCGATATTATGCAAATGAAATTATGTAAAATGAAGCTGATAGCAGGCGACATTGCCTGTTCCATTTTCTTGTCACACATACATTTCGACATCTGATCTTGCGTGAGGTGCTCTTCGTATGGTATTGTCGACAAATCTGTGGAATCAAACAGGGATAAAACAAAGACCTGATTTGCTGTGTGAATTTAAACTTTAAAGGATGTGGTGACTGCATTAAATGCACCGTTGCTCCCCAATTCATCGTACTATCAATTCCTTCTTTTTTTTTTTTAAAAAGCCTCTTGGCTCTTGAGCTAATGCGTATTTCCAATTTTGTGTAACCCGCGTGCCAGGATTATACTGGGTGTCCACATAATTACGTATACCGAGATAAATATGTTACGAGGATGGCAGGTGTGCAGTAACAGGGATATTGGCCAAGTGGGGGGGGCACAGCACATAACACGTATGAGTTAAATAGCGCAGCAAAAGCTTTGTTTTCACGTATGTGTTATAAACCAAAGGAATTTGGTATTCTGCACACTTGCATGGGCGAGCCTTGTCAATAACATCACAAGCTTTACACCAATGCAAAGAGGACAGTCTGCCCTTCCTAGAGACATACACGTATTTCTCTTTCCTTTAGTACAAAGTATTTTTGCCATTACAGAATTTTTATCTCGGTACACTTTTGATGTAGACACCCTGTACAGGTCTGTATGGTGTGACAAATCATAAGGCTGGACTCAAACCTACATTACGTATAATACTCACATTTTGCAATTCGGTGCCACATCTTGCCAGACAGAATCTGAGATGACTTCAATATCATTGGCATAGAGTGACCTGAAGTGACAGAAGTACAGGATATATTAATTGATCTTGTGATCAAACTTTCGTTTTCCCCCCCCTTCTTTGCCATTCACGGCATCCTTCAGTTATTGTACTTACACAAGCGTCATGGTATTGTTTCTTGTGACAAATGGCCTGTCACCGATTGTTTTCAGCTGGGTGTTGTAAATGTACCTGTTTTGAGAAAAAAATGGACGGGCTTACTTAAAAATAACACAAATTACGTCACGGCTATTTTATTATTTGATTTTTTTTTCATTTGGCCCATTATTAATGCTATACTATTTTGGTAACAAGCACGCGCATGAGGCTAATCAGTCTTGAACTTGAGAAAACGTACTTGTGCCTTGCAATTAAATACACTGGAAATGGAGTGCAAAATTACGGCATATTTTAGATAGACACATTTTTCAAAGTACCTACAGATTGACAAGTTGAGTTTCAGAGAAAAGCCGGTCATCCATTTGCATGATGGGGTTGTCTGAGATCAATCTGTAGACAAGGTGGCCAAAATATCTTTGATGAGATTAAAGAGGTAGCAAATAGCAATCAGCAAGGTGTTTGGAATTGTGGCAGGTTGGCTTGGGAACTTGAGGTAACTGGATGGGACATTGTTAAAAGACCTAAAGGAAGGTGCTTTGCTCAATGCGGGGGGTCGGTTAGTTTTAGTTCTCAGACCTTCGCATTCCTCCTTTTAGCTGTAAAATTGTCTTGGACACTTGTCAGGCAGTACTTATCTTTTTTGCTTCTCTCCATACTTTTTCGGGAAAGCCAATCAACACTTTCGTTTGAGCCCCCACATTGAAATAGTAATATCAGTTCATGACGTCACGTAACCGAGAATTGAAAATAAAAATGGCGTCCCGATTTCGCAATCCGAGAATTGCTTCGTAAAATTGCACCGTGTTTTGGTGGTTGTTACATGCCGTAAAGACCCGCCAGTAGATAATTTTTACCACAAATACACATATTTAGCTATTTGTGGAGCACTGATCCTGTACATTTCTAGTTGGAAGGAGAAACGGGCGAAACTTGCATTGCAAAAAGTGAGTGGAGATATCATGTCATGCGACACGGCAAACACTGAAAATGGTTCTAATTTTGCCGTTGTCTGCGCCCATTGCAAGTTTTGGCTGCTGTCTCAGACAATAAAATGATGTCTTGTAAATGTTTAACTCTTGAGTGTCTGAAAATTATGTTGGATATGATGTTGGCTCGTGCTTCAGTTTTAAAACGTCGTTCGTGACCGTGATGCACTTTGAAAGTCATTTACATAAATTCTGCTAATCATCACTAACGAGTATGAATAATGCATATCCTCCCATTATTACCATAGTCCATCTGTTGCCGCCCCTTATCAAACAAAATATCACAGACTTTCCCATGTAGTGTTTCGTCTGGTGATGGTTTGTGTCGCGGAACGACAAGGTCGCTGTCCTTTCTTGAACAAGGAAGTCAAGACTATAATCGCTATTTCAATAAAGGTACGCGTCTAGTAAAAGATCACAGAACTGAAACTGTCTTACAGTTGTCTCAAGGAGTGTAGTCTTCCAAACATATTCTTTGAGAGCGAAGATAGCATGTTGTTGTGCAAGTACAAATAACGGAGTCTTCCCAACGACTTGAATAAACCCTCTGGAAGACCAGTGAGCATGTTTGAAGACAAGTCCCTGCAAGAAATATTTGGAGACATATTACGCAGACAAATGACAAAAGAACAATGAGGTAACGACTAAAACTTGAAGCGTTATTAAAGACTATGTTGTGCTTCAATGACAAAAAGTTAGTCTCAAAACTTCTCAATTTAGAAATGGCCCTAACTCTGAAAATCTAATTGTGAGGAATTGGAAAATTGTTCCAAATTAAACAAACAGAGAGACAGACTGTCAAACTGACAGACATGTCGGCTTTTTGTGTTTAAAAGGCTATATTTATTTACGTAGATGACGTATAGTAATTGGTCCTATATACTGCATAGACTTCTTGTATAGGTATGATACTTCTTGTACAGGTGTTTACCCAAAAGACCAAAATATGTGCGTGCGTGGTTTAGGGCTTTTATACTGATACGTAAGGTGTCAGGATAGCCCTTCACTGAATGCATTTTATAAAGTTTTACACGCAAAAAAATAATCTAACTCTCCTGAGACTTCAGGAGAACTAACATGTGCTTCAATAAATTGCATAAGAAAATTTGAAATCGTTGTTTTCCAATGATAATTAAAGAGCACTCACAGAAGGCCACGAATCGTTGTGTTGATAAAAAGATTTTCTGGAAGAGAGGCTATTCTGTTTGAGGCGAAATACCTGGAATGGATGTAATATAATTCACTAAAGGTGAATCCTTTCAACAGCTGTCATTGAATTTATATTTTGTACATGTGACGGTAGCTGGAAAACAACGCGTGTAACAGTGTTTTAAAATCTTCAATTTCTAAAAGTGAGAAATGGCCGAGGAAATGTTGCCAAATAGAATAATCAGTGGAGAACAATAATACGTGAGAGAAATATGTAAATTATTATCGATATGATTATGTCGAGGCTTTTATAGTTAGGCTACCATGCAATTCGAATTCCCGATTGACTGATTCTCTCTCACAAAAGTGAAATAAACGTCTATAATTGCGTGAAAATGAAACAGTTCCCCAAGGATTTTCGGAATGGCTACTCACAGAGTATGTATATATTTCAGTCCTTCAAATGCATCAGGCGCCACGCGTTCTATTCGGTTATTTGTGAAGACCCTTTAGAAACCAGAGAAAAACCGACAATTTCAGTATGATGCTGCATATAGGGACAGTTAATATCCTTTACTTTTCCTATGATATCTGCTAAACCGAAATGGTACATCACCAAATAATTAGTACATTAATATTAACACAGAATTATAATCATTCACTGAGTTATACTTACAAGCTGAACATGACAAGTTCTTTGTTTTTCTGGTACATTAATCGTGGTGGAATCTCCACGATTTCATTGTCACGAAATACACTGCAGAGTGAAAGAAAAAAATGAAGCTATCATATTGCATCTGCATAAACTCCAGTGAAAATACATATATAAGGTATTTTTTTGTCCTTTTGCAGAGCGAAAACTACTCACAAAGGAATAGGTGTTTCAATAAGGGTTTCAATATTTTGTTTGATCGATCTAAACTGGAAGCAAACTAAAGTGTCATAGTGTCCACCTTCCAGCGCTAATATTATACGAAAATTTAAGACAGGATAAACACATTCTCCTTCATAAATACTTTTTAAGCCAGAGAGTCAAAGTAAGTTTCAAAATAGATACATGCCCAGCTTTGTTGTTGAACAGTTAAACTCTCCCATTGTTTTAACACCCCTCTAGCTATGCTAAAGCATTCACCTCATGATTAGGCTAACCTAATGACCGAAAGAAGCAAGAGTCATCGGCTGATGGAGGGGGGGGGTGAAGGCCGGCAGAAGGTAAATGCGGCAAAAAACGAGCCCACACCCCTCGGATCAGTGACTTTCCCTCAGTTTTCATAAACTGGCACAACTTAGACTGGGTCATTGGGATTTAAGGCTACAGTAATTACAAATATTCAACAAAAAACATTTGGTTAATTACTATTAACAGTAATAGTACCAGTACTATGCTATAGTACTATTCCATCTTCAATAAATTTATCCAACAGCATCATGTAAAGTTATATCTCACATTCGGTAAGGCGTTGCTACTCCACTGAATGTCAGAGGGCTTAAGCTCTTCAACTTATTGCACGCCACGTCCAAGTGAAACCTGTTATCGGATGAAATATTAACATACTTAAATTATGCTGTTTACATGAAAAGCGACTTTATCCACGTATGTTGGATTAGTTTGAACGTCTGAATGCCCCAAACAGCATCGCAGGGATGAATACTAATGACAACGGCAGTTATATTACGAGGACACGAGGCATTGATACAAAAGACCTTATTCATAAGGAAGCCATTTTTCGTCTTACTTCCCGAGTCTATCGTATCCAATGTTATCTGTGACGGACTATTTAGGGTTCTGAATCTCACTTTCAGTCCTTTTTTTGATATGGCTGGAAAATACGATAAAATTGATCACAAATTTTGAATTATTCTAAACATGAAAATGGCAAGAACTTGTATAAAGTTTTATCTAGTCGCTTGTACTTACCCTCTCAGATCCCCCCCCCATTTTTTACCCCACCTTCAATTCAAGGTAGCCAACACGCGAATACAGTCTGCACCTAAGTTGAGTTTGAAATGTGAAATGTACCATAGTTAAGTGCATTAGTTGCACAGCATCAATATTGGACCTATCGACCTTTTCACCAATAAATTCATAATTATGCACGCACACGTATAAATGACCTTGGCGGCTAAGGCAATTGAAAATGTAAAAGGGTGCGATTTGAACCATTTTCTTTCGGGTTTTCTGGCTTTGTTCAGTTGTTTTTCTTCAGGAAATTCAATTAAATCGTTTTTGCTATGAGTTTCTAATGTAAGTGGGATTTTTCCGGCTTAATCTCATGAGCATAGGAAAAAAATCACAATTGTAAAATCATTTTACAGAGCACTAAAAGTCCCGCTTAGATTAGAAACAAATAGCAAAACGATTTAATGGGATTTTCTGAAGAAAAACAACTGAAAAAAGTCAGAAGACCCTGAAAGAAAATAATCCAAAATGCACCCCTGTACATTTTCAATGGCCCTTACCGCCAAGTTCATTTGTGTACATACGTACATAATTATGAACGTATTAGTAAAAAGGTCCATTAGGAGTAACTGATGTTAGGGAAACCGTCTGGCGAACTCAGATTATAAGTCGTCACAGATGGTCATTGAATTTGCACAGACTTACAAAAATCCACCATTGATGCCAAGCATCGTGTCTGCATCGAGCTTTTCTAGTCGATTTGACCCGAGGTGTCTGTAAAATGTTGGATAAAGGCAGGGGTTAGTTTTGAGGAATGAGGTGAAAAGAAGTCACAATTTACAAAAATATTTCAGTGGCTGTGGATTTAGTGTTGGTCAGGTATTAAATTTCCTGGTGTCAAGCACTTGTTTGTAACACACAAAACATTGCACTGCAAAAATGTCGGGTGATGGGATAGCGGTAAAGCTTGCATTCACGGCTTATATTCCATATTAACATAAAGGAAGAGGATATTTAGTCGTTGTCTTGTCCTGACTGGTCGATATTTATGAGGTCACTGATGTTGATCTACATTTTGTCCCTCCTAATTGACTAAGCAGTTAAAATATACCATTAAAATCCATTACGCCATATAGATATATTGTGAACACTAGCATGATTCATATCATGAAGCCATTTTTATCCGCTATGCGTGAACTGACAACAATATTTATGAAGGATGGTGAATCAAAAAAATTGTGGTAGAAATAACGAGTGCAAAGTAGATTGTGTACGAAACACGGGAAGAGCTCACCCGATCCGATTACCCATCGCTACTTATACGCCATGCTATGAGTAGGTATGTAGTGTCAAAAGTGGACAACCTCAATTTCTCATTTTCTGCTGGTAGATTTTGGACTTTGCCTAAAGCATTTTCAAAAAACGCAATTGCCAGCCAGGAGAAATTTGGATTTTATTTCAACAACTCTTCGTGGAGCGTCAAAAGTGGACAACTAAAAAGTTCAAATTCCCACTTGCAAAATTACTCTCATGCTCCCAAAGTGGACAACCCTATTTTCTCATTTTATGCAAGTAGATGTTCGGGTTTTTTGAAGTTGCACCACACCTTTTCATAAAACCCAATTTCCTGCTAGCAGAAATATGGATTTTACTTTGCCGACGGCGGAGTGGTCCAAAAGTGGACAAGTTAAAAACTGAAACGGTCGCTGTGCTCCCTACGCTCAGAATGGAACTGTCTTGGGAAGAAGGGCAGCCAACATTAACGGTATAGGGTCAATGGTGTGCATGTGACTCGTCGACGGATGGCTTCACAGCTCGGGAAAAAATGTGGGTGATTCCTATTGAGAAACTTGCAAATAGGAAAGGGGCCGTCCAAAGCGTGACAGTCCATTGTGGTACAGCAAACTTGCGATTTCCCAGCACACGGTGTAATTCGAAAGACGGTGGTGGCTTGCCGTCGGGACTTTCCATTTTAAATAAATGAGCGCATGGTGGTATGTCCCCTAAACTATGCTTTAGCTAGAATAAACCATTGTGTCCATTCCAGTAGAATAATTGAATTTGTTGTGGAACAAAAACAGGTTGTAATCGAAAAAGTCATCTAAAGAGAATAGGCTAAGTGCTGTTTAATCAAATCAAGCCTTTAAATCAAGAGTTTCAAAAACTTGAATTTGCTGAAATAATTTTGACACCCTTAAAATTCCAAAACACGTATTCAGCCAGTAATTCCAATAACAAAAAAGGATAACCACGAAGAAAATAAATCTTTCAGCCAGTACACCAGTCGGTCACTGATAAGACATCAAATATTTAATTTAATATTAATTTTTATCATTCAAATCTTTGTTCAGTGGGCAGTGTGGGCAGTTATAGTGGAGGCAAATGATTCAAAGTGACAATGTGAAGAGATATTAATGCAATGAAAACACAAACTTGCAACTGACGGTTCAGCGCAGTTATCAGATACAACAACTGTGAAATGCAAGGACGGTGGATTGAATAACAAAGCTTAGGATATCTGAATATTAAAGAATTGGTTGTTCACTTTTGCCACTCCGAGTAACTTCCACCATAATCGATTCATAATTTTTTTTAGTCTTGGACATATTATTTTCAATAATTACCTATGGAATAATACTCCCCTCCGATAAATCCCATAAAATTCACATTCTTGACGTGAATAACGTCCGATCTTTTTCACAAAAATTGAAATACAAGCTGCATGAAAAAGTCCAATCACATGCAGCTAGGGAAATGACGCCTGATGCCCGTCAACAGACGGCTCCGCACGTTTGCAGTACTCCTACATGTACAAAAGACCGTAACTCTGGCAGCCTCGCAACTTTCATCCACCTTATTTTTTTTTCAGGGTCGGGTGATGCCAATCTTCGCAAGACCGTTCCATTTCAACATAGGGAGAAAATTGTCGTTCAAGTTTTTAACTTATCCACTTTTGGACCACCCACCGTCGGCAAAGTAAAATCCAAATTTCTGCAAGAAGAAAATTGGGTTTTATGAAAAGGGGTGGTGCAACTTCAAAAAACCCAAACATCTACGATACTTGCAGAAAATGAGAAAATAGGGTTGTCCTCTTTGGAAGCATCAAATAAAATTTGCAAGCGGAAATTTGAAGTTTTTAGTTGTCCACTTCTGACGTGGTACGAAGACTTATGTAAGTAAATTCCCAATTTTTGCTAGCAGAAAATTGAGTTTTTTTTATGCTTTAGGCAAAGTCCCAAATCCCGAAAATCTACTAGCAGAAAATGAGAACATGAGGTTGTCCACTTTTGACGCTCCATAGAGTAGTCGGGATCATAGGATCGTAGCATGGACTACGTTTGCCACACTTGTAAGCTAGACCAGTTTTAGCTTGTGCACCGCAGCAGCGGCTCTCTGTTGTGTGGCAAGTGGGGTTGCTTTTCATGCCAGGCTTACAAGTGTGGCGAACGTAGTCCTGCTACGATCCAATACCAACCTGCTTACAGCATGGCGTATTTGGAGTGCAAGCCCTACTTATAAGTAGTGGTGGGCAGTTGGATCGGGTGAAGAGCCATCGCATCGTAAAGAGCCAGCGTGTCTCCCAACTAACAGGATCTATATATTAAAACGGGACGATGTCACAGATGATTTCTTAGACTTAATGTTGTGGCTTTTGGCCTGCAAAATGTTTTAATTTTCATGATTATGAGTTAATAATTTATTTATCAAGCATTTCCCATGAAAATAATTTATAAGTGGAAAGTTTCCAGCCTGAAAGATGTGTGTTTCGACTTACAAATCCAGCATGCCGGAAAGTCCAATGAAACCTCCTGGCTCTATGGTCGAAATTTGATTAAATTGTAAACGCCTGGTAAAAAAATAAAATGGACAGTCAATCCCCTTCGAACATAATTTGTTTCTCAAAATAAAAACTGGACATCGAAATTGTAAAAGCACCTGCACAATGAACATATGGGGGAACATTTTCATTCCCGTTGACGCTTTTCCCAGCCCATACATGCTAACATGACGTTAAAATCGAGTACTTTTCTGGTACCAAGATCTCCGCAAAAAATTAAACTGGTGAGCAGATAGCAAAGCCAAATAGCAAGCACACTGGATGTAAATAAACTGAAGTAAGTTTCAAATAAAACGATGACTTCAAAGCATATCTGTTTGATATAAATGAACTTTTATGACAAACGTTTCCAAAAAAGTTAAACTTCATTTATCAGTGAGCGAAGCATTCAAAAAATACTTAACTCCTCTGTACTGCAAAATTTATTAACAGTAAAATTCAAACTTTTCTAACCCTCTGCTCTTCTTAAAGACTGTCTCACAACGTTTTTTTTTTAAAACTTGGAAATCACAAGAAAATACTGATTACTAGTAATTTGTTTCTACCCAATCCAATATATTGTTTTCTTGATACGGTCATTTGATTTTCAATCCACACGACTCCCAGCCTGCACACACTGAGTGAAAAGTTTTGCTCATCTGCATCGGGAAAACTAACTCAGTGCAAGCATAGCACGGTATGCCGAATTCCGACCCAAACTGTTGTCCAACCAACTTCAAGCTTGTGCAGACATTACTTGAAAACTACTGAACCCTTTTCATTGCGTGAAAAAGTGTGCTGCAACAATATCTGAAAAACTGTCATGGATCAGGTTCCGCCACTTGGTCTTTTATGAAATTGGCAGCATATATAGGCTGAAAGATAATTAAACCGGATAATGTGATAAATATAAAACACTTAAGTACTTCAAGTAAAAAGTTTTCAAAGCTCACCTTTGCCACTTATGAGACAAGAAATCTAGGCAGACTTGCAGGGAATTCGAATAGTGAAGTTTTCTGTTTTTGCTGGCGGAAAGTGTTTACATGTATTAGGGCGAAGGCTCCTTTATGCCCCATTAGAGGCTAATTTTAGTCTATAGCATGTAAACTTACTCTTCTTGATCGCGTCAAACTTTTTGTTAAACCGCAAAATATGTTTGTGTGGAATTTTTTTCTGATACCTTTTGGCTTTCTTTGAGGGAAGAGGGATTCCTGCCCCTTATCCCCTCTGAAAAAAAAACGCCCCTGGGAAAATTATGAAAAGATACTTACAACGTTCGGAGTCTGGTGAGGTTCATGAAGGTATGCTTTTTAATTCTTGTAAGGTTATTCTGTGAAAATGTCCTTTGACAAAAAAAGTTAAAATCATTGTTACCAGTATGATGTTTCCTACTGAAATCTCATATAGAAAAATGATTTTTTTTAAATTCGTTTTATTACTTCTTCTGTAAAACGAGTCCCTTAAGACACCTCTTTTTTTGAAGCCCAATAGTGTCAGAGAAAAGGAGTGCATCGTGGTTTTCAAAAGGTCGTAAAAATGTCTTGATATTTATTTAACTTTTATGTCACCTATGGCCGCCATTTAACACCTAGTGGGCTCTGGTGGTCCTTTCTGATACCTGTCAGACAGCCATAAATTATCTGGCTGTCGCCGCATAATATCTGGCGACCCTCGTTTATTAACTAGTACCTGCCTCGTGTTGGCGACCAATATAAGCTTCTGAAGACCGTCAAGTGCAATCTGATGGTAAACATATACATTATCTGATGGATACTAAATACGTTTGCTCACGTCTAGCCTGCCTTTTGGTTTTTGGCAGAAGTTAACTTTAAGTTTATTTCCGTACAGAGAGCTAAACGCCAAGGAAAACGTCCAAATCAGCACAAAACCTTGATTTATTTTTTTAAAAAATAGGCTACCTGCGGGTCGAAGAGTCGGGCAATTCGTTTATAAAGAAATTCATGTTCACATGACAATATTTATATTAATGTCGGCGCACGTAAATATAAACTAAAATATCAATATTCACCTTAATTCATTAGAGCATATCTATTGCAGTTTATTGCACAAATGTTGAAGATGTCCTTAAGCTTTGAAATTTGCAATCGAGAAAAATGAATATTCTAAAAGTTACTCACTGGGGAACTAAGATGACTTACAAACAATAATGAGATGTGCGCAAGTAGATATTAGTGAACATTCAACAGTGTCCTTCACAAGAAATTCTTCAGGAAGAAACACCAGAAGATTTCATTATTTATTAGCCCTGTACATGCACATCGCATCTATGCTTGAAATAACAGTATAACACTTTTTCTTTGATAATTGGAGTAAGTAATAAATGGGAGAAATAATCCTCCTGTAATAGTTGTAGAAGCTTGTTCAATTTCGTATATTCATGTTGAAAAATAATAACTGAATCTCACATTAACTTACAGCGCAATAGTATCATATGGGATTCCTGGAGGCAGTGACGTCAAACCTTTGCCCGTACAGTCCACTACCTTCGCTGGTGTACACGTACATACCTGGCAAGCTTCTATCTGACCAGCTACCCGACCCAAAAGAAACGCACAGAATAATGCTGCGTGAAACACTTCCATAAACATGATAGTTGGCTTGGACATAGTTCCTTCTTAACATTGACATGTCAGTTTGACCGACTAATACAACCACAGACGTTTATATCTAGGCTAGTTTCGGAAGTGATGGAGACATCTAGATATCCTTCTGGCGTATGTGATCGTTGCATTTTAAACATCTGTTTACTCAATTAGCACTGGGCCATGTACGCTAACATTCAGAAGTGTACTGTGTTGCTCAGAGGCGGAAAGAGTAAGGAGCTTGTTGGACCGCTTGCTGTTCTGTTTTTGTTCTTACATTAATTTGATTATAGGTCTACTTTCCACCAGCAAGTGTAGCAAACAATCGGAGTGTTGAACTTAAAAGAAAAGAAAAGAAATGTGAAAAGTGGCCTCTTGCAATTCAGTGCAGGCTTTGTGTTGAAGACAGAACTGGACATTTAACTGCAATTGCATAAAACGGAGATTTAAATCCGATCCTAGTTACGGCTTTGTCCGGAAAGTTTCGGCTGCGGCTCGAAATAACTCATGCGCCTGTATGAAACCAATGGCTAGCGGCGGGAGACACTGCCCATTTATGAATGCAGCGTTACTTCCTGCCGCAGCCAGTCTGTGCTGATTCGGAAACGTTGTTACAGCTGAACAGGAAGCTCGTATTGCGTTGAATTCAAACAGGAACTAAACCCTTTTGATACAGATACTGAGGCATCTGACCTTTCGAGAAGGTTACCGGTATATACACATAGTCCTTTCCAGGGAGAACCCCTTGATCGTTCGGCTCATTACTATGCTTTCCGGAGTAAAGCGGCTATGGGATAGTGGGATAGGGGGATGCACACTTGTCCGCTACTGTACTATAGCAAATTTACTCCTGTATGATTTTATTTAACTCAGCTCGCGAGCCGTTGAAGGCAAAGTGCAGTGCATGATTGCTGATATGTTTTACTGGGCAAGCAGGGGCGTTTCGGCACACACATAGTGGGGTTTGTAATGGTGCGTGTCAAGTTGGCCACTCCAAAATGTTGCCTGTGCGTGAACGTTATTCATGTTTAGAACTCGTCGGCATTATACTGGAGTTGAAACCTGCTGCATGAATGATGGCTTCACAGTTTCTCATCACCGTCCCTGACGTCGCATGGTTAAAAAAAATTAGTGTGGTCTCAAGTACAAGACTGAACAACTCAAGGTCCTAAAGCTTCGCTATACAGCTACATGTAATCAGAGGCTACAGTTAATCTACTTTTTAACGTACGTTGACACATAAACATGGATGGACCAGCGAGATTTGGATTTTGGCCCAAACCCTCGGAGTCAAGTTATTTTTTTCCCCGGACACCCTGGAGGGACCCTCCCTTCCTAAAATGCAGGAGGGTATTGAACAACCTTTTCCGTGTATATAGCTGAATGGAACTCGGCCGAAATTTTGTCTTGAATTTGATGTATAGTTTTCATCTTGGAGGCTAGGTGGGAACTGTTGGAACCGACCGAAAACAACCAACACTGTTCTTCATAGTACAGGATATGATCATTTCACATGCAGAAAATGGAATTTGTAAAAGATATCTCTATATGGACACTTGAATCCTTTTGAGGAATTTCAACCAACATACTTTTGGGGGAGAAAAGATTTTTAAAAGTAAAGTTAGAACTCTGACGCAAAATTACTGGAGCAAAAAAATCGATTCATACAACAAACATCCCTCTTATTTTTAAAGCTGTGGTATATCACAGTAAGCCTGCCAATGCAACAGGTATACGTGCATTGACCCATTGAGGTTGTCACAGAAACCACATTGATCTTGCATATCAAACAAGATACACACTGCATACATTGTTTTACCTTCCATTTGCCATTTGCCTTCCATTTGCCAAGATTTGAACTATATTCTAGGCAACGTTATCGTTATTCCCCATTATTAAAGCTTTTTTCATTTGACATGGCATCAAAATCGTCTTACTTTTCCAGAAAATCGCTATCCTTCACGCCTTGCCAACAGGCTTTCTGTATGTGTTTACCTGAATTCAGTACGAAGCTGCGTAAATACATGCGTCTTATATGATTAAATCGCAGTAAAGATAAAGACATTATAAACTTTACCGAACGCTTTTCCTTAGTTCCAGGAACTACAAGTACGTATAACATTTTACACAAAGGAGTCAGACACATTGGAGATGTATTCCAATTTACCAACGCGGGAAAAACCCGTCCACCCAATGAATACTTAATCCAAATAAATTTTAACGGTTTTATATCAGAATTCTAAAAGTTCTCAAACACTTATGTTGAATAATGGGCCCAATGTCCTTTGGAGCTGATTTTCTCAAACGATGACAGGTGAACACCGTACGCTGTATTTGAACTCATGAAAAATCAGCACGCACGTGCAGACTTTCAAAATTGAATATTTAACACTTCTAAATGTCACGTTAAACTACTATGGTAAGCACATTGTAACGCCCTATCAAACTCAGTGTATACTGATTTTGCACCTCAAACAATTGTTTATATAGACACAGAAGTAAACAAAACATCACTAGATTTTTTGCAGTTTTCGATGTCCAAAATGAGACGTAATCGCGAAATAGCCTTTTTTGTTTTCTGTGTAGCGGCAAATAATAGTGACATTAAAATAAAATGAGCACAGTAATATAAAACAATCTATTGTCTAATGGTTATCTAAGCCACGAGTATGTTATCGATCTTCATGACTGTGCACGTATAATACATTATGCATCCAGACTGCAATTGCGTTTGACAGTATCATTATACTCCACAACAATGTTTAGGTTTGAGTGGTGGACGTTAAAGCAGGTTTGCAAAGGCACGATTGAAGTCTCTCTTAGAAATAAGGTTCCAGAATGAATTGATGTATTCATGGTAGAGTCGATCGGTTTTCTTCGAATTCCTGGAAACTCCCAAAAAAGAGTTCACATGGTGCAGCATCCAAGCTTCGTCGCACCACTGTCATTGTCCTAAATTATAACAAATTAGTCCACGCCGCAGCATGTTCATATTACATGGATAATTAATCTTTTGGACAATACAAAACAGTGAATATCCAGCCGTGTCCATGTGGCAAAGAAAGGATTCACTCCAATCGAAGGTTGCCTCACTAAACCCATGCACAGGTTCAAATTCTATACTATATGTCTATGCCTGAGAAATAAGATTATACCTAGTCTTATGGATGTCCAATCGAAAGGGATAATAGATCCTCCACAGAATTATTCGCCAAACGTTTAATGGGCATCTGTGGTGATCCACGCCAATGATGAACAAAATCAACGAGGACCATCACACAGCCAGTGTCTCAGTCAAGCTTTCTGGGTGAACACTCTGTGCATCAGGCCTTCCACTTAACAGACCTTGCGTTTCTCCAGCAGTACCACGACCACGACGGCGGCGTCTCGGTGCCCAGTACAGTCGTGACGGCCGAAGCCGACAGAAGGCGTGAGCGATGAACCCAGCAGTGTGCTGACAGCATGCAGTATTAAAAACTGTCTTTGCAAGCGTCATGATTGCGCTTCCTGTGGAAACAGAATTAAGTAAGACTTTACACAGCGGACTCCACCTTCTTCATCATCGTCAAGCCAAAATAAACAAGCGACGTAAGGGGCGTAGTAGATTCAGTGGCATGGGAGATATGCCCCTCTGTGCACTTCTCGGCCGAACATGATTCCAGATTTGGAATGGGTCGCGCTCATTGATTCTATCCCTGCTCATTGTATTCTAAAATTAAAGCATTTTGAATGATTGATATACCAAGTGGGTATGGTTTACTGATATTGTGGCCACTCCATTTTGATTAAAATATAATGGTGACAGTGAGTTAGGGTTAACATTTTAACCATCGCTATGCTGGTCCTTTTTAGAGACACATAACTCATTGTATTCAACTGAAAGTTAGTTTGAGAATCTATTTAGAGGATATTTTGTTTGAAAATCCCTACGTCCCACCTGCCACGAAAGCTACGATGCTGAGGTTGAGTAGTACGAAAAATACTGCCAAAACCTCTTTTCTTGAGTTGCTTGGATTGCTGCCCTCACTCGGCAACAGGAGCAAAGAGGCCGCCAACAGATTGAGAAAGATGCTAGCCAGGGAGCACATCTGTAGACGATGCTCTGCAGCATCCTTCATTGGCTTAACGTAGGCATGGACGACGAGAAAGCCAACGGATAGGACGATGGTCGCGAAGAGGGTGAAGTGATCCTCAGCACCGAACAACAGAACGAAGAGAACTTGGAGGATTTTTCGTACGAGCTCTACGATCTCCCAATACCAGAATTTCTCCTTGTAGTTTTCACATAGGAAAGTTCCCCAAGTAACACTTCTAGCAGCTGATGAGCTGAACGCTGGAAGAGACACAGGCTGATCAATGCTTGGATCTACGTGCATTATATCATACGCATTATCTTGAGAAGCGACAGTGGCAAAATTGTTGGTACTTCTGTGTGAGACATCATCTGTCTGATGACGCTGATTGTCGTGATCAGTCTGCTGATCTAGATCTTCCGATGGAGTTTGATCTGATATATTCCTAAACTCTAATGAGCTCGAGGGATCACTGGCTTTCTTCAGTCTCCCCCGATGATTCGTCCACAGCATAACCAGCAACACTGACGGAAAGCCAATAACATAACAGAGAGAAACCTCGGCCACGTAGGTATACCCGACATGTTGATCTGTTTCACAGTCGATGGAATAGTCTGATCGAAGTCGAAGAACTTTGATTGTTTCTTTTTCATCTAGGTAGAATACATCACAGCCAGTCGGCAGCAATGTTAGGATGGTACTCGATAGGCTTGGATATGTAATAAAAAGCAAAACAACCACGACTAGGTAGCATTTTTGTTTTGTTCGAGCCATTAGTTCATTACAAACGTCAACTGGGGTCTCCTTAAGACGTAGGTAGCACTGTTTTATTCTGTAAACTGACATCACCAACACAATTACAAGCATAAAAAAGCTCAAACCAGCCATGAACTCAATGTAAATTGTTGGGTAGGTAAAGTTTGGGAAGTAACAGCGAGGACTAACAATCATCTGCATGATGTTCACTTCTAAAACTTTAAAAAACTGACCAACCTTCATCAAAGGTCTCGGCCAGGGAAGATCATGCAGTGCGTCGAATATCTCGCCTATGATCTGATAGAAGCCGAGCAAAATTTTAAATCGTGAGAACAGCACACTGAGTATGGACCGACCTCTTCGATGATGCCTCCGAAGGTCCCAGACAACAATGGCAACTACCAAAACAATGGTAAGAACAGAAGCTAAGACTTCCAGAAGGAACACCCACCACCTTGGACATTCGAAACACCGATCCAACCAAGAATAGAAACCGGCAATGCACTGGGAACACATGAAATCCCCGTAACCAAGTTGGCATGTCATATTTACTCCGTCACCAAGATTTTGACAGGATTCATTCCTCGGGCATGCTTGAACTTTGGGCAGCGCTCCTTGGAATGAAAGGGTGTTTCTATCGTAGCTATCGTTCCGCACGAGAATGTTTTGTACAAATTTCTTATATGAATGGTAATTGTCCACTGAACTCCAGTCCCAAGTCCACCAGAATCCAGGCAGGAGATGTTGGTATTCCCCCGAGCAGTTGATACCTTCTAAGGGGCAAGGGAAGCATTCACCAAACCTGTCTCTGCGGTAGTAATTGGATACACAAGGGCACGCGCGGAATCCAGCCTGACGATTTTTATCCGTGCCCGATGGGCATACGACACAATCGCCAATATTTCTTCCAGGATGAGTCTCCAATGTAACGTAAGTGCCATTGTTGCAAAAATGACAGTTCATGTCGCCACGTCTCCTTACAACTTGTCCAGTTCGGTTTTGGAAAAATCCACCTACAAGAACAAGTGCATGTACCTATTAATATGTTGGCACAATTTCTCCAACTCACAACAGGTAAAAGGAAGAATTCCCTTTCATGTTTTAATATATTTCAACATTAGCAATTTTCAGGAACTAATAATTCCCTTCAATGTGACATTATCACCAAATTATACAGCTTTATCCCCTATTTCGGAACTGAGGCAACTAAAATTAAAACCTTACCAGGTGGGCAGGGCCTACACGAATTCAAGGGGCCACCGTAGAAGCCTTGGTGACATGGTGTGCATACCCAAAGTGCATCAGATAATTCTAAACAGCTAAAACCAGCGCTGCTTAAGGCTTGGCCTGTTTCATGCGTTACATTGATTGACTGGACGAATCCACTTCCCACCAGATCACTAGTTCGACAAAAAACAGGAAATTCGGCGACTCAACGAAAATTTCCGGGGGGGGAAAATTCTTGGAAAAAGGAAAATAGAAGTCGTACAAAAACCTCAACATGCAAAGTTTGAAAGGATCTACAGCCACCTTGACAAAAGCATCAACGAGACTAGATACGGACTACATAGTGGATACGTCCTGACTCATAACAGTTTGCAATGAAATGTGTACAGATATAGCTGAAATCCAGGCGTAAGAGGAGATGGAAAGATTTTTCAGAGATATTGTAGTTACACATGTAATGAGAGCCAAAATCATTTTGTCGTCATACATACATTTCGAGGTCTGATCTTGCGTTAGGGGCTCTTTGTAGAGTAGTACCGATGTATCTTTGGAAAAATCCAAGAATAATGAGCAAATATTTTGGCTTTTGCCGGTAAATTTTCTCATTGAATTCAAAGCTAGAGCGTGCGTGTCCTTGAACAAGCACAAAATTGACAAACTGAGCTGAACAAAATTTTCTTTCCGCGTTATGTTTGTTTGTTTGTTTTTTTGATCCATGACCCCAAATCCCTTAACACTTACCATAAAAAGGTTGGACAACCTAAAGGATGCAACGAAACTGCAAGGGCTGTGAACAGCCTACGCTTTCCCTGATGTACGCCAGAGGCAGGCCTACATAAGTGCACCCGATCCTGCTATTCACAGCATTTAGAAAAGAGGCCTTTGAAGCAAAATGCGAATTATGGATGTAATTTTGATAAATGTACTACGCTAAGAAGCCAGCCTTGACTTCGTTAATGCATCGAAAGTGAGCTTTTTGCCACAAATGCTCCTAATTTGGGCAATAAATGAAATAAACTGTCAATCTGATCTTTTCCAAAGAAAATGAAGTTAGGGTAAGATATATAACACAGGAAAAAAGAAATATTTAAAGTTAATTATCTGAAAAAACCATGGAACATGCTTTGTACGATGTTATTTCGTAGAAGAAGCCTTTTTATAAACAGTAGTGAGTTGTTGTATAAGGTGCTACTTTTAAATACAACAAATTAAAAAATACACCAATCCCCCTTAATAGTTATGACTAGTATCGGTGAGTGGAGTCAGCCGAAGAAGAAATCGTTACAGGGTGTTTTGCACACTCTGTCTATCATGCCCATAACGTTTGGTACAATTGGGAAGTACAAATACAGAAACACGACTATTATTACTATGACTGTTATGTGACACCAGAGGACGCCTGAGGTTATACTTACACTTTGCATTGCGGTCCCAAATCTTGCCAAACGGAATCAGAGATTATTTTTATGTTGTTGCCATGAAATGACCTGAAAGGAAATGTGCATTTGTTTTAGTAAGGTTACTTTACCATTCTGAGATGCATTGCGTTTTCGTCGTTATGATACTTACGCTAGCTTTATAGTGTTGTTCCTCGTTACAAATGGCCTGTTACCGGTTGACGTCAGCTGGGTGTTGTAAATGTACCTGTGAGTAACCATACTAAATTAAGAGCTTGTTTATGGTAAGTAACACCGATCTTCCTACTGGCCATTGTATACTCAAGGTGTCCAACATTCCGTAGAAGCACCCTTCTCATCGGCTGGAAAGAGTCATGTTGGTAGCGACGCGACCGCAACGCGTGAATTTCATAGTCGCTTGGGAACCAGCGAAGTGCAGTTCCCACCAAAACAGCCTCGTTGCTAGAGGAAATTTGATCCCTCTCTTCGTCCAGCTCGGGGCTTATACCTGCGCTGGCGGTTTTACTGACTGCCCGCATACGCAAAGTCACCATTAATTAAACAGCAGGAAAAGGTCTAATAAGGTTTGAATATTGTTTTAAACGGTAACCAACGCACCGGCGATGTGTCTTTAAGATGAGGCCACATAACAAACTCTGGACTCCAAATGTGGCACAATAAGTCATTGAAGACCTCTGGGTTGAGATTGTTCACACAGCAGCTAAGTATATTTAAACAGGATCATATTTATGGCCGGCTCACGGCTCCAGTAGCTATGTGGGTACTTGTTTACTTTCGAGGGTATGGAAGATATCAAAAATACCTACATGTTGACTAGTTGGGTGTCGGAGAATACCCGTTCATCCATTTTGGTAATAGGGTTGTTTGAAATCATTCTGCGGAGAAATCGTAAAAAAATCGTTCATAATAAACACTAGAAAAGTTTGGTGGTGAGAATGGCACTGTTTGATACTGGACTTCAGGATAATTCAGTTTTATATTGGTATTTCGTTCATCCAGAGAATTTCCTTATCATGGAACTTTCTTACACTTCTTGCAAGGAGTGCAGTCCATCAAACATCTTCTTCGAGAGAACAGAGAAAAGATTGTTGTTCAAGTACAAGGCACGTAGTTTTCCTGACGATCGAAATACTCCTGCTGGAAGACCTTTGAGCAGGTTTGAAGACAAGTCCCTGGAAAAGATGTGATGTAAAAGATTTACACAAGAGCAAGGAATAGCAAACATTAGTTGGGAAGGCGTCACCTTATTTTCGACATTGTACGCTGATGGTACATAAAAAAATCCTAACTGTAGTCACAAAGTAAAATTATTCATGGCGTAATACCATGAAACTTAGCTTAGGCGAGGAGTTACAAAGACGCAGGCATTGACTTTTTCTGCCAGTGAGCTCTAAAATAGGTACACAGGATACAGTAGTGGGTTGATGTAACCTCGGCTATCTATATGGAACTAAAACAGTATAAGTGATCCCAAGAAAACATAGGTATCGGGTGTGTTAATGTGGACTTTCCTGGATACTCTGGCAATTACGAACCCGTAACTGGACAATAAGTAAATCTGGTACTCAATTTCGCTGGGAAAAATTACAGTACTATGTCGATTATTATTATTCAAGTTTTTCAAAAGAAATATTCACCAGATCATATTTGGTCAGAAAATTACTTACAAAGTACTACCAATAGTTGTGTTGATGAAAACATTTTCAGGAAGAGATGCAATTCTGTTTGAAGTGAAATACCTGAAATGAATTATTTAAGATGTTATTGCGTTTTTGTAACTGATTTTTTAATCCCTAGCAGCTGTGAACAAAAACTTTAAATACCTACCGTTTAATCCTAAACTAATGTTTGTTTTAAAATGACCAACATTTAGTACTTTTTTGACAAGAAAAAAATGCTTAGAAAAATATGCAACGCATGAAACAATATGGATTGTATGTGTTATACTTTGGTAGCATTTCTCTTGTTTTTCGGATCACAAGACATTGAAAAATCAGTCTCTCTGTCTGATGGACCTCATGATTAGAATGAAACTAATTCAATCAACTAGTTTTAATGTACTGTCCGTTAAGAGTTAATTTTGCAATGTTGTAACTTCTTCCTGGAATAATGACTTCTGCAATTATGTACTGCAGCTCTAACCTCTTTGTTTATGTTAGCTAAATGTGTCTTTTATTGATAAACACTGTATGCTCAGTGCTTGTACGAGAGCTTGCAAAAAAATCACAAGCTTACTCGGGTGGGACTCGAACCCACAACCTTCTGCTTACTGAGCAGACAGTGTTTTTCAATATATACGTTGGGTGAGGGCAAAACCCGTTATATAAATTAACATCTCCCCGACGCAAAATACATCCTGAAAAAACAAATGTTGCTTGCCTGCTTCTCTTTTGACATCATAAATTGATTTTTTTGCATTTAAGGGTTTTCATTTTTTTCTATTTTTTCTTTAGTTTTGTGTATAATTGGTCTTTCTAAATTATGTCCATTTTTTCCATTTCGTATGCTGTTCCACTACTGTTTGACGACTTTGTTTAATTTTTAATTCTCTGTCGAACTCAGGTCCGGTTGGATACATATTTTTTATTGTAGTTTTAATTTTTCCGTCATTTTCACGAATTTTAATGTCAAAAGATGTAAACCGATTAAAGGAACAAATATCCCCAAAACTATGATTCAAATATGGTTTCAATTCCATTAATTTCTCTTTTGCGTCTTCCAAACCAAGAGACTAATCTTCACTTTCACGAATATCTTCAATTAAGCACTTACAGTGTATGTATGTACTTTACTCCCTCGAATGCATCGGGCGCCAAACGTTCAATTTTATTATCTGTGAAGACCCTGTTGGAAACACAAAGAACCATTCTCATTCCTGTTTATCAAGCTGTGAGATGAGGGCAAAATTCTTCTAATCTATACGTGCGTATAGGGCGTCAGTCATACGCCTTGAATGTTTAGTTCTTCACCTTTTACCTTTGCGGCCTATCGATTCCAAGTGCGGTTTCTGATTAGAGTATTCCTCTGGGGTTTTCCACAAGGTTGGGTTCCCTTCCGTCTCTATGAAATGTTGATGTCTTTTTCCACAGGTTTCTTTCGGGCTTGTGAGCTACAGTGACGAGGACTCTTGTGAGGAATCTTTGGTTTCCACAACCAGCAATTAATAACTTTCATATACAAGTGAAGTGCTTGAAAGATATGGAGGTTTTTGTACTCAGTAGGCCTAAATGCTGTAAACTAGTCTTGTGAAATTGTATTAGACGTGTACGCCGGATTCTGTTTACATCTCAAGTCTGACTATCTATGGTCACAATTCCATTAATGAATGGTCTGCTGGCTTTCCTTTGCAAACGTCCTTGATCAATGTTTGTTATGGGTATCAGATTACTACAACGATGCACCCCTCTTTTTTCAACCAATACAACCCGACTTTCAATCCAACACTGACCATTATAGTTCTGAGTTAAGCAGACATGACTGTTTTTTCCGCATACACGTGGATTTCTCCCATAAAAAAACACGAGATCTTTATCTTTCCAACTTTATGGCTTCTGAGCTGCAGTGTCTTAACAAAATTGAAGAATTTTTATTTCAGTATCAAATACACTAACACAAAAAGAATATTACATTAGTATTTCCATTCCACCACTGCTTTCTACGTAATACTTACAAGGTATACATGGTAACTTCTTTATTTTCCTGATACATCAGTCGTGATGGAACCTCCACGAGGGCATTGCTACGAAACGTACTATCAAACAGAAAACTTTAATTTAATGTTATTTCTTTTTATTTTTTAAAACGACGTTGTTTCTTTTCTGGTAAAAAAAAATACTATCAACGATTGACATTTCTCTCAAGTGAAGATCATTGTGCAGAAAAAAACTACGTGTCTTGAAATATTTTGTCATTCAAAAGATTAACTACTTCAAATAATAACGTAGATCGTACATGCGGTAAGGTGTTGCTACTCTATGGAAAGTCAGCGGACCCAAGCTCTTTAAGTTGTTGCCTTCCATCCTCATGTAAAACCTGTTATCATACAACATACTGTTAGTGAAACATCCAGGGAACATTCGCTTCATAATGATGATTTGCGATGTAAGAGATTCATCACTCTAGCTTATCTTTACAAGAATATTGCATCGGCCTAATGTTGCTCAGTGTTACAAAAGACAGGCAGTTGACTAATTCATAGTAGCGTACATGCATAAGATGTGCGTTTTTCCTTGTATGTAGGAGGTATTGCTTATTTTAGTAAATTAATTAAAGAGAAACTTCCTGAATTTAGAAACAAAAATGCTACCGACTGACCCAAATCCTCCACCAATGCCTGACATGATGTCTGCATCCAGCTTCTCTACATGATTGTACTCAAGCAGCCTGGATAGTTGGGGGTGAAAATAATTCGGGTTTGGGGGGGGCAGGAATTAGAAAAGCATGAATGAAACATACACCAAAACCTAATAATCATACCACGTGGGATGAGATGTTTGGTCATATGAAATACGTTTGCAGAACTTTGGTGGAAGTAGTACATATGGTAAGGATTTGCAGGTACACCCGGGATCTATCTCTTCAAAAAAAAAAGGTAGTTCTACCATCCCCTTCCCCGCTTCACCGAACTTGGCTCCCTCCATAACCCAGCACCACATAGCAGTCCGGCACATTCATAAGAACGGCCAGGGCACCCTGGTAGAAACGTCGAGTAGACACTCACCGGTTCTCTTCAAACCTTACCTTTTCTTGAAGAGATGATGTACCCGCAAATCCTTACTATATGCACATTTTTGTCTTGAAAAGACGTCAAAACAGATTATGAAAACGCTGGGTATAAAAATGTAAAGCAGGATTCCCATCCCTATTAAAATATTTTACATTTTTTATTTTTTAGATTTTTAGTAACATATTTCATGTTTTCTTCCTTTTAAGTAATCCAACAATTGCACGCCTTCACCATTGATTAGTAGATGATGAAGTTAACATTGCAACAATGTGCATTGTTTGGACGGAAGTCATTCATGTACTTCTCTATGAAACTCTTTGATCCGCCACCTTTGTTCTCAATTCGAGAAATAGGCACTGGGTGCACATGGGGAATCACAAAGCATTCTGGGAGAAAAACTCCGTTGTGTAGGCCTAGAAACTGAACATGTTGTCTACCAGGAAATAACTGGGAAGGGCAACTTACAAATTCAACACCCTGGAAAGTCCAATGAAGCCTCCCGGCTCGATCGTCGAAATATGATTCGATTCCAAATTCCTACACACGGAATAAAGGAACGCTGAATCTATAAGTGTGGCAATCACGTGAAATTTGCATCCAGGTATATTTTTTTTCAGATATCTATTGTAGTTCCCCAGATCTCATACATGTACTCTTATAATGCTAATTGGAACCTTTGTTATATTTACATCATAGTTTTGACCTATTTGATAGATAAGCATGTGACCTTACATACCTTGCGCTCTCAGTAGTGAGATTTGCATAATGGGCGTGCTAAAGCAAAGGATTGTGGATCGATCTTATGACACACGTGAGACGGGCGAAGAATGGAATGCGACGATCTAAAACCGTCTTTTACCTAATCCTAAATGAAAGCCTGAGTAAATGTAAGTCTACCCGGGTCAAACAGCTTTGAAAGCCAAATTGTATAATTTTAGCCAATAAGATGTTCGTTTGAGAAACTGTTTTATTAAATACGTTCATTGATCTGATAGATCTGGAATCAACTGTGTGATCATTATTGTTTGCGTTGGATTCAAGACTCAAGTGGCAGAACTGTGAGGTATAACTGAGTGTTTAGGGTTCGAGTGTGAAGACTAGACCTCATAACTTTAACTTACGGTGAAATGAGATTGACACTTTATATTAACGACAAATGTTTCTGGACTTTCGTAAAAAAATTCGGATTACACGAAACCAATTTTGTTCTTTCTTTTTATAAATCTTCAAGCAGGAAAAATACAAATTACAAGATTACTGCTGAAAAGGTTGAGTATTTGGTCACTGTTTTAACAATCATTTAACCAGATAAGAAGAATTTGATCATTTCTTTTTCTCGTTTAAAGCAGAAATAAAGACGTACATTATAGACAAGAGGTTCTCCCATCAAGGTGATATTAGTGTACTGAGAGATATCTTTTTCTGCGAGTGAAACCCGTCTTCTTCATGATGGAATTTGAATAAATTAGTCAAGCATAAAACATTTTAAATTTGTAAATTAGACTTCGATGAAAAACATTGCATGGATGTCAGAAATGCTTGCCTATTCACTAAATCGCATGCCTGTTACGAGTACCACAGAGTGATCGTGCGAATTTGACTTCTGTTCTTGGGGTTTCTTAAACTGAATAGCGACTCAAACTTTGCTGTTTAACAGGAATTTTCAATGGCGTGTTCATGAAGTTAAATTGAATGACTATATTGGCTTATTGAATGTTGATCTGGATCGTCAATCTATTTCGCGCTAAATTGAATGAGCCTGACGTTAATTGGAGCGCCAATTTTAAAAAGTTGGGCGGGAAAACCTATACTTGTGCAGCCAAAAATACAAGTTGAACACATTTCAACCAACGAGCATGTACATTTGCATGCAGGTGCATTGCGTGGTCAAATTCACTTCGCTTCCGCAATCGTCTGATATTTAAATTGGCCTTTATTGAAATTCTGTTTTAAAACCTTTTCCTTTTGGATAGAAAAGGGGTCCCTACACTTTGATTCCCCGATCTGCAGCAGGTTTTAAGAAGTACTTACAGCCTTCTCAATCTGGTGAGGTTCTTGAAGGTGTGCCTTCGAATTCTTGTCAGGTTATTATGTCCGAATTTCCTTTGATGAAAAAAAAGGAGTTATTGAAATCCGATTACGATGAGAATGAGCGTCTGTTTAATTCAATTAATGGACGCCACACATTTCCCTTGAATAGGTCGTACACTATTTTAAATGTGAGAATATTTGTTGTATTCATTCAATGGCAACCACCGCTTAATTATCTCGTTTGCGGGACAACGATGCATAGACTATTCGATAAAGTTAGATAATTAGGCGCTCTCCCCACTGAGTTTTGTGTTGAAAACATTTCGGATGATGGTATTCCCTACAAATTGTAAAACTTATCAGAAAATAGTTTTCAGGAGCAGCTGAAGTTTAAACAAGTATGGGTGTTCCGGTTCAGAAATGCCTACTGTTTGCAACAAAGTGATTGCACAAGTACTGTACTATTTGAGTTTCCGAATTCCTTCATGGTCCTCGTTTATTAGGGATTCTATTACATAACGATAGACCAAAATATAAACCCCGAACCCCAATCTGACACGGCAATAAAATGGCTGTTGTAGAAAGTTCAACCTGAAAAATGACAGCCCTTAGTTCAATTTTTTGATTGGTTCAAGATCTATAGACAACAAAGCAATCGTTTAACATAAGCTAGCTATAGAATTGCATTCATTAAAATTTACAATGTCAAAATGGCAAGAAGGGATTTCTCTTTGTATAAATTTCATTTTTTCCCCGCTTGAAGGCCCTCATTGGTTTTCTTGAACCCGTCTTCCTCAAAACTGTGTCTAAATGTACGAGCACCAACTAACTAAACAAAACGACCTCACCTCTTACTTTAATGGACTGTAATTATAGTATTGTTTTGTTGTCAGTAGTGGAGGACCTGCTTCCTTGTAATAGAGCCTGAAAGTAAAAGGTAACGCAGCGAGCTTCCAGAAACTTCGAGTGGTCCGCCTAGTTGCTGTGTATGTCAATTTATTCTTTGTTATAAGGATAATCACTTGCTTTTGGGCATGTGATTTGTAAGGGGTATTGCAGCATACCTGTGTACAAAGAATTATTTATTTCTATGGAGTGAATTTTTATGCGTGGCCTTTGACAGAAGCGGCAAGTTTCTTTTGCTGTCCAGTGTATTAAAGGACATGTAAAACTGGGAATATATACGGTGAATTTGAACATTTCCTGAAAATTTTATGACAGATAGACCTCGGTTTCAATAATAAACTTCATGTTGACTAAATGTACTTTTGTATTTGTCTTTCGTTTCCGAGTCAATGAATTCTTACGCTCGCATGGCCGTAAAATTACGAGGAATAAACGGAATCGGTGCTGAGTTAGGTCGATGTGTTCGGGAAGAGAAAAAAATCTAGCGGAAAACCGTCAGCAAATCTAAAACTTTCACACCTTTCTCCACCACAGCCCACTTTTGAAAACTTCAGGAAAACTTTGAATTCTTTGCGTTCGAGCCTTCAAAATCGCATCGAAACATAAACAAACTATACAGCATACGAAAAGAGCTTGACACAAAATCACTAGTTTTAATCACTCTAGTACTATTTCCCTATTTTATGTTTACAAAATACTTGGGGACAAGGCCTTATCTTACCATGAAAATATTTTGGGCAGGAATTTCTTTACCAAGACGTGAATTTTTTGCATCCAAATTGAAAAGGCTAATCGCACAAGTTAATTAAACCACACATAGCTTGGAATAGGGAAGGTAACCAGTCTTAAATTGCTGCATGTTATTTTTCCCATCCAGGCGTTCCGGAAGCACTACACCAAGGGTCAGTTTTCAGGCTTATATTCTGCGCACATAGGAAATTAACATCTACATTAGGATCCTGTTCTTTTGTTGGGAAAGGTTTGGCTGGTTTCCAGGGCGGGTTGTGCTGGCACATGTTTTTTGAGTGCGTGTATAGTGCTTGGGAGTGCTAACGATCTGACAGCAGTGCGGGAAGTTGTCCGCTGCGTTATTGGTGTACAAGTTTTGCTCGTCCTTCGAGTTAATTGTGTAACCTTCTTGGTCTCATCAAGCTGAGGAACAAGACCCCGAGAGTTCACGTCACGATGCATTTACTTTACTCTTACCTGCAAACTATAAATATAATGTAAGCACTGCTAGGTTGTTATAGAAGTGAAATACCCCTCAGGCACTCAGCAAGTATTAGCAGACCATGTAGGCTCTAAAATACCCATTCATATTAGACATAATAAAAGCTACACAATCAACTTACAGCACTAGAGTATTCTCCGGTATTCCAGGAGGCAGTGATGTCAAACCTTTGCCCGTACAATCCACTACCTTCGTTGGTGTACACGTACACACCTGGCAGGCTTCATTCTGACCAGTCACCAGACCCACGGAAAACGCACAGAAAAGTGCAACGTGATACAATCCCAACAGCGGCATGATGGTGTGTCTGTATAAAGTGTTATTCCTTCCCATTACACTACTGCATCACAATGACTTCAACAAACACAGTCACAGATGTTTCTATCATGTTTTGTTTGCCAGACCGATTTCGGTTGCATTGAGTAATATCTGAATTTCCTCCATGCAACTGACTTCCTGGTGCGCATGAAAAACAATACGACTCATGTTGCACCAGACCGCAGGCCTGCCATGTAAGTAGGATAGTATCACTGTACCAAACATACAAAAGAGATACAGTTAGCATGGTGCGACTGCAAACCTATCACTAAACAGGCTATGCAAATTTACGTTAATTTTGTTTTGTTCTCGGGGTGTTAAGGGAATTAATTAGTGGGCACCATACTGCCAACATAGGGCGCTCTCTCCCTCCACGCCCCTGCACGACCGGGTTGTGGCCGTTTTGCTGCTCAGCATTTCGAAAAAAATACTATGATGGGTCATCAGTACACCTTCAAGAAACCTGAGCCCCGGGTGTCCGTTCAATTTGAGGCATCCAATGCAAAAACACAAACGGCTTAGGTGTAGCGTTCATGAGTGGCTGCGGACAGAGGTTTAACTTAAGTTGCAGTGAAGGGATCGAGGCTGACAGTTTGCCTCAGGCAGAGTAAGGCATGCATTCGGGAAGTGGTGCAACGGGTCAATTCGAACTTTCGGGGGGGTGGCGGGTATGCAGTCTGTTACTTGGACGTTCTTTCCGGGGAAAATCCCTAAATCAATCCGCTGATATTACTTTCCGGATTCCGCTGGTTGTGGGACTCTACATTCGGAGGTCCCTGACAGATTTTGGCCTTGGCCGGTACGAGTTCGTGCTGCTAATTGCTATACAGAAGGGGAATGGATTGTATTCATTGTTGTGTTAGCCATCTTCAATTGAAAGTAAGGTGAAACAGTCTATTTTGGGAACCTGAGAGTAGAATTATTAACGGTAAAATAAAAAAGTTCAATTTTTGTTAAGAATAATAAATTAAAATTTGTGATGAGATTATATCTGAGGCAAACTCAAAAAGAAAGTAAGTTACGTTTGGATTCCACTGAGCAATAGTCTAGAACCACCCAATTAATTTTAATACATTACACTAAATATATGATAAACTCAGGGACCAAGGTAAAAATAGTTCCCTGTGAATGAGGTCTGTACGTTGCTCGGAGTAAACAGAATTAATGTATTTTGAATATTTTGCTGCCAGCATGGTTATTTCTGTTTACATTATGTGAATAGTACACGATCAAAGAGCAGTACCGAAAGTTGAAAGGTGACGTCACGTGCGAAGGGTCTAGCCCCACCCGCCCAGAAAAAAAAATACTTTAGAACTGCGCCTGCTCACAACTGTATTGGTCGGGAACCAAGGAAATAAACTGTATCGATTCGCACTAATGCTCTGAGCTATAAATTGAGCTCGTTGGCAAGTGTAACAGCTATGCACAACTGGCCTGTCTGGGTCTTCACGATTAACCCTTCGCCTTGGGTGCACAACATTCTTTCCTTTCATCATCAAGCATACATAATTTTGTCATTTATACACTTCACTCTCTTCATTGCCTATAAGATAAATCCAAAAGGGAGTCTCACGTGTAAAGTCTAACATCTACAGGAAATAAGATCAATGTGATTGATTAGAATTGAGGACTGTGATAGTATGACATAAGCTAGTATGACATAAGCTTGATTTGGGGCAACGTTTTATTGACCGTGCCCTCAAATGATGATCACTAATTTGGACTTTTTTATACATCTTAATGCTCACTAATTATTATGAATTTTTTCGTGTAGAAAGTTGACCATTTTAATTTCACACGAAAAGCAGTAGAATTTCTACAAGCGGATTTGTATTCCTCCTCTTTAAAATCACCCGGGGCCTATAAAATACGGGTCATTTGAAGTCTATGATAAACTAGAGGCAGTTAAATGAGTCAAGGGATTAGCATTAGGTGAGGCCTGAGACAGATAAGAAGCCGATCAAAGGGAGGGATTCCTATGCCCTGTGTCACTCCATAGGGTCCATTTTCTCCATAGTAGACCAACTTTTCTGTAATTTCACAAAATGTAATTATTTATTAGATTCCAACACTTATATTATTGGCTGATTTCAACCGCCAGTTTCCTTAAACATTGGCAGTATCCCTATGTGTATAAATTTAAAGTCCTAATTGTACATCCCACGGCCGTGGGGAAAAATAGAAGGAAACATATTTACATCCCGACTCAATTATTCAGGTCCCTTCAGGTACCCTCGTCAGTCCAATGGCGACGATGATGATAGCCACGCCCTTAGAGATTGCATATCCTTGACAGATGTCCAGGTTGTTGCCAGTTCCTGGGTCAGTGAAAACTTTGACTTTGGAGCCGATGAATATAATCCCGAAGCAGGGGTCAATCTCCAAGCTGTCGAAGGAGCACATGTGCTCCCGCAAATTCTAGAATGGGCGTGAGAACCCTCTTGAAAGGCCTGTGACACCTCAATCTGATCATGGAGCTATTAAACACAGCTCCATGATCTGATGAAGTGGCTGGTTCACCTAGAACTGTCAAGTAGTCGCGACTTGTTCACACAGAACCAAATGGTTCACTCAGCCTACAAGACTTCCCCTCCGGGAAAAATTAAAAGAAATATCCAAATAATTTATTTAACCCCTGTTGTGATGCAATAACCTAGTTTGTCTGTTCCCACCAGTTTCATTTAACCCAGGGTTAATTTACGTTTATGATCAACCTCGTGCCAAAATGCAACCTTTCTTTTTGAAATGTATCTCAAGAATGGAGCTTTTTCCATAGTTGATTTAGACAAAATAAATTATTATTAGAGTTGCCGGGGAATCTTTGGACAGAGAATCAGTCTACTTTCAGCCGAAATGGATTAATTTAAACTACAGAGGGCGCCTTATTTATTTGGTTACCAGTACAGCTGTACAGTCCGCCGGCGCCGTGCAGTCACTCAACATGCTCAAGCCAGGGTGATGTTTCGTCAGTTTCCGATCTATTTTCTTTCTTAAGACACTTTCATGACAGTCGATGTGGTGAGTAACCTGTTGAGCCTAGGCATAGAGGTAGGCCTACCCCCAGTGTGGGATTCGATTTCTCCCGCGTTCCCACGGCCACGTGGGACATCGAACCCGACTTCTCAGAATACTCCGTGAGTCCGTTAGCCCCACTACTAGTGTAGAGTGTACTGTGGCACCGACTCCCTCTCCCGATCCGTCCTTAGCCACACATGTCGGCGTACTGAACATTTTTCAGCGCACCCACTTATCATCGTGGGCGCAATTTGTTTTGCACACGGACATGATCCTTGACCTTTCCGCTTTCTAAAAACCATTTATTGAATGATTTCACTCACTTTATTGAGGTATTTTCCAGTCTTTTTGCCTTTATCCATTCAATCTAACGGGCTCGCTCTCACAGTCGCCATCTTTAAAATAAGGTTGTTGAACATTACGTCACTTGATCCCTCATCATCTCGACAGCTGTTCCATGTCAAGACATCTAAACTGCTGCCAAAGTTTTGGAACAGCCCATTGGTACATGTACTGTGATGTAGCATCTTGTCGCTCACTCAGTCCGTGTATTACATACATGTATGTCTTGACATGGAACAGCCGTCAAGACGATGAGGGGTCAAATGACGTGATGTTCAACAACCTTATTTTAAAGATGGCGACTGTGAGAGCGAGCCCGTGAGATTGAATGGGTGAAGGCAAACAGACTGGAAAATACCAGAACAACGTGAGTGAAATCATTCAATGAATGGTGCTAAGAATGCGGAGAGGCTAAGGATCATCTCTGTGTGCAAAAGAAATTGCGCCCACGATGATAAGTGGATGCGTCGAACATTTTCAGTATGCTGACACGAAATAGCATATACGGATGTGTGGCTAAGGATGGATCGAGAGTGACAGTCCGTGCCACACTAGTGGGGTTATGAGTCCGTGTGACTTTGAAGTTTGAGCCAACACAGTTTACATGGTCTGATGGTGGTGTAAAATAGTATAAGGGTTTTGTAATCTAATTTTTGTGATGAAATGGTTCACAGGTGTAAGAAAGCTGTTAAATCAAATTTTCCCCTGTCAGCAAAACTGATTAAGTTATACCTCTTCAAAAGCAGGATAGGCCTAATAAAGTTTAATTTCAGAGCATGAGAGTTGAGAGTACTTTTGAACAGTCTGATAAACAACGAGCGACAGTCAACGGGTGGAAGCGAGAAATTGGTTTGCAAATATCTCATTTTTTTCAAAGCTATTCTATCTCATGCTCTCAAACTTCGTTATCACGATTTTTAAGAGGTATAAATTAATCAGGTTTGGTGATGGAAAAATTTGATTCAATAGCTTTCTTTCATCTGTGAACCACTTCACCACAAAAATGTGATTCCAAAACCCGGTAGCGTTACGACACCATGTAAACCATGTTGGCTCAAAGTGACATGGAATATGACGGAGTAGTGACTTTTGGTTCTCAAAGTAATCAAACCCCACAGTTTTGGGGTACCCCAGTAGGCCTACTAGTTCTGGGGGTAGGGTTTATCGCTCCAGAGACAGGAAAAATGCTTATTTGGGGATTTGGACGTGTTTCCCGTATAAATCCTCCAGAGTAATGAATCAGGAAAGAACATGGAGTCAGGTTGGTTGGTGTAGTGGTTGGTGTAGTCTTTCCCTCACTTTCCACCGCTGTGACTGTGGTTCAGGTACATGTGGATTCGGTTTTCAGTCCCTACCTGATTCCTTGGGTTTTACACGGAATATTCCTCTTGGATTTTCCTTCCACCATTAAAATTGTACATGTACCGGCTACTCATTGTCTCCTCTCTGCAGGTTTCTTTAGGTTCAGGAGCTACACTGTACATGTACAGTCAAAAGTGCAACAGGCACTTTCGACTCATCATTTCCATAAATAATTTTATAAAGAAAAAAGAAGAAAATTCCTCATGTCGCGGGATGAGGTCATCAGCCATGTCAGCTGGGTTCAAATGGGGGATCTTTCTCAAGCTTATGGTAGACATAAGCACAATCCACTTGGCCTCAGGCGTACAAGAGGGCACAGTCCACATTTAGCCAGGAAAAATATCATTTAGTTAAATATGGCTGTTGATAGCTTAATATCCACTTCCTTTGTTTTGTTTAGATATGTACGTAAATATCATTGTACATAGCTGGGCTAGATAAAGGGGTCTACTTGTACAGGATCTCATTCCCATCCGCTCAAGCATTTTGTACTCCTTTGTAATAAATTTTGACTTTGCTGTGTATCATCTGAGAAAGTAATCCAGTGTCAGGAAAATCTCAACTGTTACCATGCACCAAGTTCAAAAACAGTGGCAAAATGACAACAAAGTCTTCTCAGACAAAGACTTGGGGGGAAAAAACTTCTGGCCTAAAGCTTGAAAGGGCCACACATTCGTCAATACTTGTTCATGTATGTAAAATATGGAGAACATTCTAGGGATGTCATTTCTTGGGGAGTCAATCAGCGAACTTTGACCAATTCCATTCATGTTGCTGTCGTGCCAATCAAAATTTTCTGACTGTACAAGGGAACTGGTATGATAAGGACTCTTTGTATGTTTGCATTACCTCATATCCCCCCACACTCAAGGAATATGCACGACCTTCCCCCATCCCTGCAATTTTCGGCATGTACATGGACACACTTCAAATGTGGACAACCCAGTTCCTGGTCCTCCATGTTTGGTATTTCAATCTTTTTCCCTCAGTCTATCATCCTGCCTGTGCATAATGCTGATGCTTGGCTGGATGAGTGTCTTCAGTCCGTACTCGACCAACAATTTAGTGGCTCTCTGGAGCTGTCTACCTTCCTAGATGCATGCACAGTGAGTAGTGATGAAGCGAAATCTACGTGTACATGTATATAGGCCTACCTTTCCAAGATGTAGGCCTACTTTTACATGTAGCGTTTTTTTTGTGGTAACACTTTATGCATTACTAAAAAAATTTCAGGGTCATGTTACAGTTCCTGTCAATTCTGTGTAGTGTGTTACAGGTATTCATCAATCATGTTGTATTATTGGAATATTTGTGGAAATTTACCAAGCATACCAGCATTGAGTAATTAGTGCTAGAAATATACACCCGGACCCTGACCCTGTTGTAAATGTATGGCGTCTTCCTTTTGTAAACACTAGATCTGCATCTTAATATTAAAGTCATATCATAGCTTGAGTAATTTTTTTCAGTCATTCACAGTCTATCAGCCGTAAAAATGGAAAAGATCATTGTTAACAAACACTTGAATGCTGCCAAGTATTTATAAAATTTTGGTAATTTTACAGCATAGACACACAAATGGCATCACAGTCATTATCCCATTATTTTCAGTTTTCTTCAGCAGGTTGAGTTCGACATACTCTGTGCTCCAACCTCACAGCATTTACTTATTTCACATTCAGGGTAGATGAGCGTTTTTGTAGTATTGCCCAAGGGACATTTTCGCTACTTTCCCTAACAGTGTTCAAACCACATTGCCACTAGTCATGCCGGTCCTTTAGTGTATCCAACTTTTAATGTCAGGTTGGGCAAATTCAAGAGCAAATGCAGCTTTGGGCTCATTCAACATGCTGTTGGGGAGAAAGAAAGATCAAAAGCCGTACTCAAAAATCCGTCGGGGGGCAGTCAGTAATTGCAACAGTGCTGTAGTTTTACTAAGTTCATTTTTTCCTTCTTTTTTTCCTGCATTTGCCAGGATAGGTCTGGTGACATCCTAGACAAATGGAAGCCCAGACTCGAAGCCTCTGGTATTGTCATTGTGACAGGTGGACACAATGATAAACAGCCGAAAGGAGGTGAGAAGACATAGGGGCAATAATGACTTTATCAAACGAAACTCCATGAAAAATGGTTCTGTAATATTCGAAATCCGTATCAGCACAGGCAGGCATCCCATCATAACAAAATCCTTGGAAGTCAATTCTGTATTGACTTCTTTTGACTCTGCAAATGGTATTCATGAATTGGAATTTATATGTGCTTGGCCGGTAAACTAACATTTAAGACCAGTTCGGGAAAGTGAACACTGATAGCCCGAGCCG